CATGCCTAAAGACACACTCTCACTTAGTGACAGGTCAAAAGGCTCTTCCAGAAGGACAACCCGTGGCCCTTGGACTCTGGGGGCAGCCTATCTTTTCCGTGGCTATAGGACTGAGGCAATATTGATGCTCACTGTTCTGTACATTGAGGAAAGATGAAGCTTTTTATTTTTAAAAAAACTGGGTCCCCCCGATGCCCAGGCAGACTGTAAAATGCATCCTGACTGGATGAATGCAGGAACTCATTTGCAAAATTAACGAGCCCTGGTGCCCTCCTCTCTCCCACAGCCTTTCTGGAGTTAAGACGGGGCCAGCACATGCCTGCCCTTCTCACCTGGCTGAACCATCGAGGCCCCTAAGCCCACGGGCAGGGCTGTGCCTTGTCTCGGCCCCTTCCTGGACACTCCTTCTAGCTGTGAAGTTATTTACTGTGGTGATGTGCAGAGCCTTTTCAGGAGAACAGATGGCACCTCCAATTAGAATGCTTTAAAAGGAAACCCTAATGAGAATATAAAAGCCAACAAATTGACTTTTTCATACAATACTTCCCTGGCACATAATAAATCAAATATATAATGAGCCTCTATAAAATAATACGTGTATTTACTGTTGTTTTGCCGAGCATCGTGTCGTGGCCTTAGCTCTGCCCTCTGGGCCCCGGCAGCATGCACTTTTCTCTGAAGGCCGTGGTGGAAAGTGCACCGCGCACCAGTGGACAGCTCTCAGGCCTGACCACCACGGCCAGGTGGAGCTTAGTTTGATGATTTCTGGTCTAGCTTAGAACACCAGGTCTCAAGAATATAAAACCTTCTTGGACAAGGTGCGGCCAGAGTGCTCCTTGGAGGCAAAGATGATGAAGCTTCGTCTCACGCACTTTGGGCATGTTGCTAAGAGAGGATATTCCTTGAAGAGGGACTTGTTTGGAAAGGTAGAGGGTTGACTAAAGAAAGGAAGACCTTCAACCAGGCGGATTGTCTCAGTGACCGGAGCAATGGCCTTGAGTGTCTTAAAGACTGTATTCTGTCACATTAAGAAAAAAAAAAAGAAAAAAAAAAGATTGTGAGGACAGTACAGGATAGGACAAGGTTCAGATCTATTGTTCATAAGGTCACTAAAAGTCATATTCAACTCAACAGCGTCTAACAACAACATATAGTGTGTCTAATGTGATGATAGTCAAGTTTGGAGGGCGGGGAGATCGTGGTAGGGACATAGGGGTGGAGCCCTGTAAATGGAGTGCCCAATCCCACAGATGGTCTGACCAGAGACCAAGGAAAAAGTCTTTTGAGGTTTGAATTTGCTTAGGTGGAGTCAGAGTTATGAGGCGGCAAAGCACAGTGGACGCACAGATTAGAGGTTTGAGTATTTCCAGGAATCAATCCTCCTGGTTCACACACTTCAAGTGAGACCTCAGAAGCTCTGCATTGAGAGATAAAGCCAAGATAAGTCCACCAACAAGGAGGTCACCCCCGCGTCAGAGTTCTTGGAAACCTGTCTCTGGCCCACCTTTTTAAAGTAAGTCCTGTTGTGGTTGTTGATTGCTGTTGAGCTTTGCACAACTCATAGCGACCCTATGAACAAAAGACCTGAAGCCTTTCTATAACTATCGTTGTTTCTCAAAGTTCATAGAGTTTCCAGAAGCAGGTTGTTTAGGAAGCAGATGCCACTCCTGCTCCCAAAGTATGTCCTACTATTAGGTATATAGAAATTATGGTTTCCAGTGCCTGTGACTGTGAACTTATTTATAAATAATACAGTTTTTTTGAAGAACATGAGATCATAGTGGAGTATGTCCAACAAATGTTGTTGTTAACTACTGTTGAGTCAAGGACAACTCATAGCGACCCTATGAACAAAAGACCTGAAGTCTTTCTGTAACTATCATCATTTCTCAAAGATCCTAGAATTTCCAGAAGCATCTTGTTTAGGAAGTGGATGCCACTCCTGCTCCCAAAGTATGTCCTACAAATAGATATTTTGAAATTATCGTTTCCAGTGACTGTGACTGTGACCTTATTTATAAATAATACAGTTCTTTTAAGAACATGAGATAATAGTGGAGTAAGAGTGTGGGTCTTCATATAATCTGACTCTTACCCTTGGGGAAGGAAATAGAGAGGAGGTTAAGATATGGATACAAAAGGAAGACGGTCACATGAAGACAAGTAGAGATGGGAGTGACATGTCTACAAATTAAAGAACACCAAAGATCACTAGTGATAGTCATCACCAGAGCTGAGAGTGGAGCCTGGAATTCATTCTCCTTCAGGGACCTCGAAGGGTCTTAGCTAACACCTTGGTTCCAGGTTCACAGTCTCCAAAATGTTAAGGCAATAGATTACTGTTCTTATAAACCATCCAGCTCCTAGGACTTTGTTTCAGAAGTCCTCAGACACTAATACACCAACTTTCTTTCTAGATGACTTTCGACAAGGGCTGGATGAATTTATAGGGAGCTCTGGGGGTGTAAGCAGTGTGTAAGGAGCTGCCCAGAGGCCTTCGCATCTCCGTTCATTTGAATCCCCCGGAAGCTCCATGGAAGAAAGTGAGGCTTTTCCTGTGCTATTTAGAGCCTCAGATAGTCTCAGGTCAGCGACGAGTCAGTTCGAACTTGACAGCAATGAAGCAGTGAGAGAGAAAGAGAAATAGAAAGACAGAGAAAGATATTTTGTAGTATCTGTCTGCTAAAGAAGAGAAGATGAGAGGTCTAGTTTCTGTTTGCATGATCTGGGGGGTGGGGGGCTGACCCATAAGAGAGACACCGAGAGTGGAACTGGAAGGAGTATAGCAGGAGGGGAGCTTGGAGACCCTAGAGGCCTTGACAGTCATGGGGACTGTCCTATCCTTGCACATTCCAGCTGCACTGAAGCCGCACCTTAAAGTGGCTTCTAAAGAAACACATTAAACTCGGCTTTCCAGTGTCATAGGAGACCTCCAGGGGAAACTCAGAAATCAGTGAAGGAGAAGCTACAAAAGAAAGACAGGGACTCCGAACAGCAGAAAATAGAATAATTTCTATTCATATCAACCCACCAGAGAGGGAGGTCTGGGGAAAATCCATCTACAAGAGGATGAGCTTTCCCTTAGATCAAGTCCTCTGCACATTGATCGAGCTCGGGGCCTTGATCTAGAAGGCACTTTCATTCCTGTTCTTTCCCAGCAGAGGCAGCCCACGATGCAACATCTGAATTAGGAAATTCTTCCACTTGGAGCACAGCCATTTGCTCTAGTCATCCAGCTGCAACTGTGTATGGAGTATTCTGCGTTATTCTGTGCTGGGGATGGGAGGGAGGTTGAGATCTTTGCCCCAGGAAGTGTAAAAAGAAACAAACTCCTGCTTGAAGGGCATCAAAACCAGAAGATGAGCATAGTCTGTGCCTACCCAGGGACAACGACTCTCAATACAATGGTATACAGTAAACAGAGAGTCTGTAATGCTAGTGTAAAAGGTGGCTTTTTTTTAGTCACTACAGCTTAGCTACTCTGGTCTCCAGCTACTTTAATTACAGACCCATGGCAAATCAGCCTGGTCTTGTAAATCAGCATCAGCTGTGGGACTAGGATAAGAGAAGGAGTGCTTCCCACACTGTGCAGCAAGACTTGAAGTGAGCAAGGCCCTGGTGAGAATAAGACCCTAGTGGTGGAGAGTCTGTGGCATTGCTGTGGACAAACTGTGGCAAGGTGTGATCTGAGGCTTCTTGCATTTGTGCTGGCTCTAGTTAAAGGTGTTTGGATGTTCTTTCTGAATGTTTGAAGAAGAAGCTGACTTATAAGTCTTCTGAGGCAACCCTTGCTGGATGATTTGATTATAACTACTTTGAGGCAAACCTTGCTGCATGATTTGGATTTGATTGCTGAACTGAAACTGGAGCCTGGACTTATTAAGGAATTAGCCATTGGAACTGTTGGGCTAAAATGTGGACTTATTTTAAGTGACATGCTTAGCCTCCTCCACTATCCCAACTTCCTTCCCTAATAAACTCCACTGTTGGTAACATAATTGTGAGTCAGCAATGAACAAAAGAACCTCTAGAGACACCATGGGGCTGGGCTGCAGGCTCTTTGTCTCCTTTTTGCCTGGGGCAGTGAAGAGCTGTGCTATTCTTACTCTCTCTGGCTCTTTCAGAGACTTCCTGTCTTGTGCCTCCATATACTGTTTTCTCTTCCTTAGACAGAGTCCTTCCATTTCAGGGCTATAATACTTAACAAACAAGAGGGTTGTGCAGGGAGAGCAGTGCTCCTTGTTTTGAGAAAATTCTCTTCCAGACCCACAAAAGAAAAGTAGGGCCTCCACACATTTAACAAAACTATCGTCTCTCCTTCTATAACAGAGGGTCAAAGAGTACAGGCAATGGGTTACCCCAGTCTATACACTTTCTTCTTCACAGATGTACCCACTGGCCTGGCCTCTGGTCTTGTCATATGGCAGTAGCACTGTTGATGCACCATGCTGTGCATTGGGAAGGCCACAGGAGACAATGACATGGAGCGCAAAGACTCCCCCTCTGCTCAGAATCTGGTGACTGAGATAAGGAGAGTGCAGATTAACTGAACAATAAAGAATGATGAGCGCGCTCATGGAAGCTCCACTGCAGAGTTACAGCAAACTTAGAGAAGAAAGGATATTCTTAGGTGCAGGGACCAGGCGGGGCCTCTCAGAATGATGGCTGGAAGAGCTACTTGATGTTGTCGCAATGTCTTTGAATTCTGCACTCCTAGAACTCTGCAGGCTGCCATTTTATTATTTGGTTAGCATAGACCTCCATTCATGGGTGACAGGAAAGACCTTGCATGTGGGACATGGGGGAAGAGAGCTTACTTTTGACTCTGGCTTAATAATTACAGAGCAGAGAGGGAAAGATTCTGCAGGCCCAGTATAGGAGTGTTCGCTTCAGCACCATGGCCAGCACCTCTACATTGTGCTTCTATCCACCGGGATTGCATTCTCTACCATTTGCATTGCCTTGGAACCAAACTCCCAGGCCGGAGCCCCAACACTTACTAGTGCATGCCACTTCTGGGGGGTCGAAGTCCGCACGGTAATAGCCAGTCCTGCAGGTGCAGATCGGAGATGCCTCTGATGGGGAACGGCTGTTGGAAGGACAGTGCAAGCAGCCTTCAGCTTCTTGGTTGGCCTTGAACGTCCCTGCAGGGCAGGCTGGAACACAAAGAAACCATTTTAGTATTAGGAGGACAATGGCAACAAGTGATCTTTCCCTGAAACTGAAAACCAAGAGATTGTGGATTCCATAAAAGGATACTAGGCTACCCCTTTGCCCCAAGCAGTTCTCTCAGGTTGCGGAAACCACTATTTTGACCCGTACAATTCTTTTTAAATTTCTATGAATATATATTCTTAGCACTAATGGGGTTATTTTCTCCCCATTTGAACAACATGAATAATGATTCTTCTCTTTCAAGTGTGTTGAGAAATTTAATTGAGAAAAACGCTCAGGATGGATGGTGAAGAGATTGGGATTGTTCACAGCTTCAGTCTGCTCGGCTCCATGGTCAACACTCTTGGCACCAGCAGCCAGGAAATAAAAAAACGTATTGCAATGGGAAAGTCTGCTGTTAGGGACCTCTCTAAAGTACTCAAGAGCAACGGTGTCTCTCTGGAGACTAAGGTCCGCCTGATACAGGCCATGGTTTTTCCAATCACTTGTTTCGCATCAGAGAGTTGGACAATGACTAGTGAGGATAGAAGGAGAATTGACGCCTTTGAGCTGTGGTGCTGGAGAAAAGTATTGAATGTACCATGGACTGCCAAGAAAACAAACCGATTCATCCTAGAGAGGGTTAAACCAGGCTACTCCTTGGAGGCAAGGATTCTGGAGCTTCGTCTGACATACTTCGGACATGTTGTAAGGAGAGACAGGTCCTTGGAGAGGGACATCATGCTTGGGAGGGTGGAGGGACAGCGCAGGAGGGGAAGACCCTCTATGAGGTGGATTGATTCAGTGACTGGGGTAATCAGGATGGGTGTGTCAGAGGCAGTGTGATTGGCACAGGATAGAGCAGGGTTTAGGGCTGTTGTACATAGGGTCGCTATGAGTCGTAAATGACTCGGCGGCACATGACAACAACAACAAGTGTAATTCAGTGTCTATAACGTAAGTGCTCTATGAATTGTTGCTCACTATTCTGTTCACCTGGTTAACAGCCAGAGTCTCCTTCTGGGCAACTTATTGAAGTAAAATTGCCATATGTCCTCAGATGAAGAGTGGTCCCAACAGCAATGCATCTAAAATGTCATGGTGTCATCTCATGGCTCTAAAATGTCATGGTGAAGTACATGTGGGAGACACTGAGATGTGTTAACAAGTACTTGTTATGAATGATGGTAAAAGACTGAAGTTCATGAATGATTCTTCAACGAGAAACTAAAGCAATTTCAAGGTGGCTGCCTTAACAACATCATTCTCCCTTAATTGCATTTTGAAATGGGGGGGAGGGGGAGGAATGGATGACATTGCAGGAAGTGCACCAGGGAATGTCATGCACCTATAGTCATCTATCATGTGGATGACAGTGCAGAAGGTTAGGGATTCCTGGAACAGCGCAAGACCAATGCCTCCCACAGGTATGGTCCGATGTGGGGCACCTCATCCCAGTTCCCTTTACATGAGCTTCTGAAGAGCTGCGTCCTGCAACGTCCTTCAAACTCTTACCATGCCTCTTCTTCTTCAACTCTAGACATCTTTCATCCTTCTCATTGAACCCCCAGAGATCATCCATCCCTAATCTGTTCTCCTTCCTCAAAGTCCTTCTCCATCATCTCTGCCCCTGACTCTTCCTGCCCACATAAAACCTGCTCTGCTTAGTCTCCTTCAAGACAGGTGAAACCCAATAACTGACCATCTTATTTGGATTTCTTATACACCCCATTAATCCATTCAGTAGGGAGCTCTGGTGCCTTAATAGTAAGGAATTGTGCTGCCAACCCAAAGGAACATGGTTTGAATCCACCAAGCATTTTGCAGGAGAAAGATGGGAAATCTCCTGGGCTAGTTGTTGTTGTTGTTATGTGACACTGAGTCACTTGTGACTCATAGCGACCCTATGTACAACAGCCCTGAAACCTGCTCTGTCCTGTGCCAACTTTATTGTCTACAACATACCTATCCTCATTATCACAGTCACTGTATCAATCCATCTCATCAATGGTGTCTCTCTCTGTCTCCATCCCTCCACCCTTCCAAGCATGATGTCCCTCTCCACAGACCGGTCCCTTTTTGCAACATGTCCAAAGTATGTCAGATGAAGCCTCAGAATCCTAGTCTCCAAGGAGCAAACTATTTATTACCTCTTAAAACCCACTGGAGGGTCAGCTGTGAGTTGGCTCCAATTGTGTGGTACACAACAACAATAATCCAACCAATAAACAATTACTGTACATCTGGCAACCTAACTAAGGGAATACAGAAAATAGAATCTGCTTTCACGGAACTCATGATTCAAACATGGTCATGAAATTGTAATATAATGCTGGGTTTTTTCTCTGTAAGAGTGTTGTTGCTGGTGTTATGTGCCGTTGAGTCTCTCATGTGACTCACAGCGGTCCTATGTACAATTGTTCTGAACTTTGTTCTAACTTAAGCCAATTTCATTATCTCTGACACACCTACCCCCATTTACCCAAGTCACTGAGTCAATCTAATTCATCCAGGGTCTTCCTCTCTTGTGCTGTCCCTCCACTGTCCCAAGCATGATGTCCTCCAACTGGTCCCTCCTGGCAACTTGCCCCTATGTCAAATGGAGCTTAAAAACCCTCGCCTCCAAGCAGTAGCCTGGTCTCACACTCTCCAAGATGAACATTTTTGTTATCTTGGCAGTCCATGTGTATGTATTCAATACTCTTCTCCAGCACCACAACTTAAAGGCGTAGATTATTCTTCTATCATCCTTAGTTATTGTCCAGCTCTCTGATGCATAGTAAGTAATTGTGAAGACCACGGTACCACTATAATTTGTTTTGCTTGGATGAAATTAATCTTCCCAAACACCCTAAACCTCACTTAACAACTATTTCATTATCTACATCTTGCATTTAAACACTAAAATGTCTACTATTCTGTGTTTTAGTGATTTACATATGGCAGTGACAAAGTACAAGGCAAAAGTATAACTTTCCGTGATGCTTAAGGTTACATGCTAACTTTGCTGGACCACAATTCTCAGAGATTAGGCAGTTACAGAATAATGCAACCTGATTGTTATGCGATGATATAAACTGGCAGTTGTGTACGGATAACATTTCTGAGTTATGATGTAATAATTAAATTTGTGCGTAGGTGATGATGGGATACGGCAGTCCCGTAATGACGTAGTCACCTCCTACTTTTGCACAAGGCTGATTTTCACACGACGACCTGGTCTTTAGAACTTAATCATGTTGTTAAGTGAGAAGTGAGAGTACACTGCTTCCTCCTAGAAAATAGCATGTTTTCATCATAGCAGTAGCCACCATCTGTTAACATATCTCATTAAGTACTTAACATGTGTTACACTACAGGGTAGTTATTATTATCTGCATTTTGCTAATAGTGAAATTGGGACACAGAGGGAATAAAAAGTTCCCAAGAACAAACAGGCAAAAAAAAAAAAAAATGGGAGTACTTATTTACTCCTAACCATAAAAAAAGGAAGTTCTCTGATAACTGACTGATAGAGGATATGCTGCCAACCCAAAGATACAAATCCAATGGTTCAAATCCATCAGCTTCCCTGTGAGACAAACATGGGAAATCTCTTCCAATGAGGTTTACTCCTCCAAAAACTGCTAGAGACTTGACTATGAATTGGTTCAGGCTCGATGGCACAGAACAACAATGTGAAAAATAAAAATAAAAATTAATTCATTATTTTTGTGCTGAAACAGAAGGGAACTGTTCCTATGTGTAAATCTTTTCTTGTTCTGTTGGTCACTCATAGTGAAGCATACGGTTTTCTGTCGCTGGAAGTGCCCCAGTGCTCCAGCCCACTGTGGACAGGAGGCAACCTCTGAAATAGAATGTTCTAGAATGGTATATCTGGAGTAGTTCCATGGGGTGCAATTGATTCTTTGAGTCATTGCCACTTGTTCCTTGCAAAAGGGTTCTGTGGTCAGATATATTTTTGAAAACGTGGATCTTAAAACAAAGTCAAAACATAATCCCAATCTTTATTGCACAACTTCCAAAGCAGAACTAGGGGATGTTATATTTCCTTGAAGTGTCTAACAAGAAACTCTGCTTTGTAGAGAACATCTCAGAACTTAACATGCCAGGGACACACTGGTGAATGTTGTCGACATGGTTCAATGGAGCTCTAAAAAGGTTGGTCCTATAGGCCACCTAAAAAGGCACATTCTTACAGCTCAACAAATGCAAAAGAAACTTCTCTGTGGTCAAGAACAAAGACAATCCAAACAATACTAGGGATTCCACAAATAAAATACCACAGAGAAACCACTAAATGGCACAGTGGAATGGCATCTCAGCCCATTTAGGACAGCCCCTCCCTGTTTCTTTTCCTCTCTTTCCTCTTCTCCTTTCTACATCTCGTCCTCATCTCCTATGAGAGGCATCTGGCACTTCCCATTGTAAATCTCCATTTTTCCTGAGTCCCTTTCCATTCTAAAGCTGATTAGTACAAAGACAATCCCATTTTTATGTTGTCTGAACACCAAGGGGCCTTATTCCTGGAAAGTGCAGGAAGGGAAAGTGGTGGCAACTTCACACCAGATTTGGTCCCTGTCACACTGTCATTTTCTTCAGCCCGAGATGGACAAGGTGGTTTTGCTTCATTCCAGCACTTTACATTTTCTAACTTAACAGCATCAACAATGGTCCTGATATTCACAAGTGGCAGAGGAATTTGGGAACTGCCTTCTGAGATTTCTGATGAAGGAAAGTGGTTCTAAACCTTAGAGGGGAGAGAGTGATGCCCATGTTGGTTCATTTGGGGAGAGAAGCTCAAGGGAAGGTTGGGGAGCTCAGTTCTGGGAAACGGTCTGAGCCGATACTTCCCAGAGCTGAGAGCCCTGAGCCAAGGCCTGCTTCTTGGCTCATCTCATTCTCTGGTGGCGCAGTCCTTAAGATATGGTGCTGTTAACACAAGGTGGCACCTCTGTGGTGGTTTAAATCCACCAATACTCTGTGGGAGAAAGATACGCAAT